CAGATCTTTGTTCCCGTACCATTTCTTTTATTCACTTTCACCATTAAAGGCATGAATGTTTTATTTAAGTTCACTTTGATTATTTGCATGAATTCGTTTTGTGAATTTTATCGGTCAAATCAGGACAGCTGCCACTTTAAAAGTAACGCGGATGTTGGAATAACGTTTCCTGCAGTCTTTGACAGCGATGACTGCGTCTGTAACCTTACAGATATACAGATGAAGACATTTTCACCTGATGGAAAAGATTCAAGCTGGAAGATCTACACAACACCCGCAGTCTTAAAAAAGCTCAGATCAATATAATAGATACCTCACACCCTACTTTGCCCTCGTGGAAACGGGACAGAGCAATCAGTGCAAGGACAAATAGACTCAAACACAGCTTTTTCCAACCACAATAACACGTCTGAATGCTGTTACCAAAACATGTCCATCACGCTCTTCTTGAAATGATCTCTGCACTGACTAAAGCATGTGTGTGGAGGTGTATGTGAATGTTTGCTCATACTATTCTTATTAGGGATTTATTTATTGATGATTTTTAATCAGTTTTATTGTTTTTATTTATATTTTCATATTTCTATGGATCATGCACTGATTGGGGACCACTTTTAATTTCATTGTACCTGCAACAATGACGATAAAGACATTCTGATTCAAAGAGATAGTTTTTACTTTATTACTTTGAGTACATCTCAGAGCCTGCTGCACCTTTACTAGAGTAAAGAAGTTGAACCAGTACTTTACTGGAGTAGTTTTTAACAGTAGTATTTGTATTTCTACTTAAGTACAGAATGTCTGTAACTCTGAGTCACTCCACACAACATTTTCCACATGTATAAAAGACTTGTTGCTTTGTCGACTCTCTAACACACACACACACACACACACACACACTGTTACTAAAGTGTGTGTCTGAAAAGGAGAGGGGAAACACAGCTGGGACTAATTACACAGACGAGATGGGGAACAGAGGCCGAACATAAAGCAGGACTGTCAAAATAAAACAGGAAGTACACGACAGACACAGAGGCCCACACTAGACACCGCACAGAGGGAACACTGAGTACAGGGACAGGAGCAACATGAGAGACGACTGACTGGGGAACAAGAACAAAGGTGAGGACAGAACTAAACCCACACTAAACATGGAGGCGCCAGAATGAAACCTAAAAACTAGACTTAACAGATCAAAGAAGGACTAGAGCACTAAAACAGAAACCAAAACATTAGTAATGAAAAAGCATGAAGTCACAGATTAATAAAAATAATAACTCAGGACCGTGACAAGTTCAGATTGGTGCTGAGTTAGAAGAGAAAACTGACCAGAGGCTCTTTCAGTCATGAAGCCTCCATCTTCACGTTGTCACATTAATGGAAAGTTCACGCTATGCAGTATGAGGTTAGTCTGTAGGTGTGAGCAGACTCACTGTAAACTGAAATGGATGGATCTGCATACAGTCTGTTTCCTCAGCACGAGTGTCTGCAGCCAAAGATATTTCAGAAGCACACATCCTCTCTTCTTGCTGGACTGGGAGGGTGCACAAACTGGGTTCAAACCTTACAGAAACACTACATACATTAATGTTTAATGAAAATTAAAACATCTTGCAGTGCTTTCAAAACAATCACTGGCTTTCAGAAATTCATGTTGGGGAAAAATGAGAGCACAGGAAAGGTTATTTTTTCTTTTTTAAATGCAGCTTCATTGCAATGAACCATCTCTTAACAAAGAAAGGGGAAGAAGACATGTTTTATAACTTTCCTGATCTGCTGGATGTTTGTATTGCTTTAAGTATTTTATTGCCAAACCTGTAATCCTGTCTGAGCATGAACTGGGTTATACTGGGTTACAGTTGGCTACTGACTCTCTAGCAAGTCACTATCAAACAGCTGAATTCACTAATTCTCTACACAGGAGCGCTGCAAATTGAGAACAGTGAGGAGTCGGATCAGGGGAAATATGAATGTGTCGCCACAAACAGCCTTGGTGTGCGTTACTCTGGTCCCGCCAATCTCTACGTACGAGGTAAAGTCTGATGTTTCTCTCATTTGTGGAGTTAATCAATAAGGTCATTGTGATATCTCATGAAATCACACAACTGTTTAAACCCTCGCCCCTCATGGTTTGGTTTAAGCCCGACTGTGGGAATGTGCAGACAGTGTTTTAATGGCATCTTCTCATATAACTCTAGCTGCCCCTGACACAGGGAGACAAATCACTCATTATTGATTATAAAATGCTTAATAGTGTTTTGGTAAGAAAGAGATGGGCTCGGCTAACATTTCATGATTTCGTTAAAAGCATACCGTCGTGTATCATAGAGGCTGTTTTATGGATGAGTGATCAAACGCTGTTCTCACGCCCACCAATAACACACTCTGCTGTGAGACCTGCTTTAAATGTGCTTGTTATGATATTCCATTATTCTCTTTGTGCTTGTCTGCACATCTGGACAGAAGCGATCAGCCCTGCATTCTGTCAGCTGTTCTGAGTTAGCTTTTACCCTGTATGGGCGTAACTATTCATAACGTCACAAAAAGCATTATAATGACCTCACATATTCCTTTTTCTTTTTATTTCATTAGTACGAAGAGTCCCGCCCAGATTCTCCGTTTTACCCTCCAACCAGGAAGTGATGGCAGGCAGCAGTGTCAGTCTAACATGTGTAGCAGTGGGCTCACCAATGCCATATATCAAGTGGACCATGGGCCCGGTGGACCTGTCCAAAGAGGACGGGATGCCATTAGGGCGCAATGTGCTGGAGCTCACCAACATTCAAGAATCAGCAAACTACACATGTGTGGCCATGTCTAGTCTGGGCATGATTGAAGCTACTGTTCAGGTTACTGTGAAAGGTGAGAGCTGATTTCAGATCAGTGGTTCTGTTGATCTGAGGTTTCACAAAAGTGTGAATTCTGATGTTGATTTGCCTACAAATGTAGTCGTTGATGAAACAGCCCAAATTC